GGTACCTATCCTTCCTTGACGATCACACGAGCCGTGGTTCGACTACTTTTCTCCGTTCCAAAGATGGCACAGTTCAAGCCATCAAGGACTTCGTAGCAATGGTTGAAACTCAATACCATGAGAAAATAGAGGAATGGCAGGTTGATGGAGGTGGAGAATTCATTAACGACGAGTTGAAGCAATTCTTCAAGTCAAAAGGAATCAAACTGCTTGTCAGCGCTCCGTATATGCATCAGCAGAACGGACGTGCAGAGCGCTTCAATCGCACGATCATGGAGAAGGCCGAGTCAATGCGTCACGATGCTTGCCTACCTGACTCCTATTGGGAATTTGCTGTTACCTATGCCGTTCACGTCTACAATCGTACCCCCATGAGACGTTTGAAGTGGATCACTCCACATGAGGCTGTAGAAGGCGAAGCTCCAGACATCTCACATCTGAGAGTCTTTGGTTGTGGTGCTTGGGTGTTCATACCAAAAGAGAAACGTTCAAATAAACTCTTACCCCGTTCAGAATACATGACGTTCCTTGGATACCCAGAAGGCATGAAAGCCTTTTTGTTTATCAAATCACCCAATAATGCTCTTGTCAAGGCAACTACTGCCTAGTTTGACGAGAAACACTTCCCTAGGTGCCCAGACACTAAGGAACCTCGCGACCGAACACGAGTTGAAGGCAACCCACCTTCCTCATTAGGGAATGATGATGATATTCCACCCAATACTGGTGACGATGATGGTGCTGAGGACGAGTTCCCTCGACCATCATCTGATTTCACACCCCCACCAAGTGGTAATGGTCCTGAAAGTGACGACGATCAGAATGGCGATCCGCCAGTTGACCAAAACCCGCCGAATCCTGCTCCGGGACATCCGGGGGAGCAACCTCCGCGCGGTGAAGGAACGATCAAAAGAGGAAAACCTATTCCTCCACAAACTCGTTTCCAACCGCAAAGGAATCGGCCCAAGGCTAATCAACCTGGTGACGTCTCTGGAAGTAAAACTCCTGTTGAAAAACAAAAGACGGGCATGAGGGACTGGAAAAAGTCTGTTGGAGATAACGAAAGACGGCCATCTGGCTACAACCAACAAGACAAAGGCAAAGGAAAAGCTATTCCCGAGCAAGTACCTGCCAATCCAGAGTCCCCAAGTGACTCACGCCCATCTGATGACGATGTTGATGATGCTGAATTATCACGACTTGTTCGTGAAAAAGGGGAGAAATTTATCCATTACATGCTTTCCAAAGCTGTATTACCAGATTCACCGTCTGATGCCGCGCCACGTGAGTGGACGTTCAAAGACATCATGCGTTTACCAGCGCATGAGAAGAAAGGGTGGATAGAAGCTTGCAAAGAGGAGTTAGAGGCACTCCGAAAACGAGAAGTCTTCAAACTCACAGATCTTCCCAAAGGTCGTAAAGCGATTAAAAACCGCTGGGTATTCGACGTCAAATCTGATGGTCGTAAACGTGCCCGACTTGTTGCCAAGGGTTTCGAAGAAATCGCTGGCATTGACTACAATGAGATTTTCTCACCAGTTGTCTGATTTGAATCAGTTCGTACGATGCTTGCTGTCACAGCGCTCGAGGACTGGTACATCACTGGAGTCGATGTCAAGACTGCATTCCTCTATGGGAAACTAGAAGAGGAAATCTATATGCGTCAACCTGAAGGCTTTGTCATCCCGGGCAAAGAGCAAAAGGTGTACAAGTTACTCTGTGCTATCTACGGTCTGAAACAAGCATCCAGAGCCTGGTACTTGGAACTTGTAGCGTCTTTGAAAGTCATTGGCTTCAAACGACTATCAACCGATACTGGGATTTTTATCCTCCAGGATGATCATGGCGACTTTGTTGTCGTGATCGCTTATGTCGATGATCTTATATTCGCTGGTCCCAAACGAGCAATTGTGGATGCTAGAAAAGAGGCATTCAAGCTCAAATGGGAATGCCGTGATCTCGGTAACCCAACCGAATTCCTCAAAATGCGTATTAGACGTGATGCGAACAATATCCGTCTTGACCAGTCCACCTACCTTGGCACAGTCCTGAAACGCTTCAACATGATGGAATGTCGAACGGCAAAAACTCCTATGGTTGAAGGCTACAAACCTCTTCCAAACGATAAACCAGTGGATCCGAAGCTTCGTGCTCACTTCCAGTCGATTATTGGATCGCTTTTGTACTTGATGTTGGGGACTCGTCCCGATATCGCCTACGCTGTCACAAAGCTGTCTCAATTTGCAGCTAATCCATCAAAGGAACATGTTGACAAGGCACTGTACATTTGCAAATATCTCCGAGGAACGATGAACTATGCTCTCGTTCTTGATGGCGCTTCCCAAGAAGGGTTGAGCGCTTACTCGGATTCAGATCATGGCGCCGATCCTGCAAAACGCCGATCTGTGACTGGATATGTGGTCAAGCTGGCTCATGCCGCTATCAGCTGGACTTCACATGCTCAAAAGACTGTTGCTAATTCCTCCACCGAAGCCGAGTACATGGCTGTGTCTGATCTAAGCAGACAGGTGATGTGGTTCAAGCATATGTTTGGCGAGCTTGGGATTATAATCGACAAAATTCCTATCTACTCTGACAACAACGGTGCTATCTTCACAAGCAACAATCCTGTTCAGGAAAAACGGATGAAACACATTGACATCAAATATCATTACATCCGCGAACGCATTGAAGAAGGCGACATTGAAGTTCTTCGTGTCGACACTACCGAAAACACCGCTGACATCTTACCAAACCCTTAGGAGTTGTCAAGTTTAATCAGTTTAGGGATCAACTAGGACTTGAGTTTTACTCGTCTTAGTCCAACTAGCGCTCTCAATAGGAGATGCACTTGTTGCGGGGGAGTGTTGAACATATCTTATCCTATCAATAGATTAGATTGTCATGTGACCTTCGGTCTAGACTCTTCCAGAACTTTCTATGAGGCTATGCAGTATTCTACAGCATTCGTCATTCGTTCGTCATTTCGACTCACTCTGACACACTCGTTTATCACATGCATATCGTTCCTCTATTGTGCTTACACATACGTAGTCTATTCTTAGGTCGCTCTACATGTATATAAGGACCTGTATTCTCTCCCTGAATCCATATCGATTTCACTATCGTTCTAGTCACTTGCCTCTAGCCACAAGCTACCTGGTAAGTCTACCAGCTATTAGTAGCAGTAGAGTTCTTCACTGGTGACATCTTATTGGTGTACAAGCGCTTGATAGCGCCAGACGACCGACAAGCGCTCGTACGCCGGTAAGACGTCACCAGCGCTTGTCGCCCGTGATACCAGCGCTGGATCCCATCCCAGCTCTTGGATGCACTTCAAGTGCACTGGAGGTCTTCCAAGATGGCAAGCCCTCGAGCCTCGCTTTCAAGTTGCGTCAAGGTCTCGAAGCGATTTTTTTGCTGATGAGGGTGTCTGTGGGCGTATACAGGTATCGTGTAGCAGCGCACAGTGGTTCGGGTTCGTAGGGGTGTGTGTGGGGTAAGTGAGTGGATGGGAACAGTAATATAAGTTTCAGTAGCCCTGTAGTACCCAGAGGTAGCCAAATAAACCTGATTACTCCTATTACTGCGTGGTCTCCACAGGTCTCTGAGGCATGTGTCTCGCTACTTAAAAATTCTCACTTTTTGTACCTGAGGGCACCGAAGGATATCTCGTGGTAACCGACACATGGGCGGCTGTGGGTGTTGCTTGGGTATTGCTTGGGAAACTGGACTTCTCACTGGGTCTCATCCTTCAGCAGGCGCTCCGGCCCTCATTCTAATATTGGACGATAGAGTGAGAGGTTGTGCTGTTGACGAGCATGATCGTGGGCGTTGTGGAGATGGGACAAATACTGTGAGTAGAAGGTGGCCGGTGTGGTGGATTGGCAGGTGACCTGTTCCTGCCCGATCGAACCCTGGAACGTCCGTTGCACGGGCATAGCAGCGGTGAGCTTCTTTGGCCTAAGGTCAATAAATTTTCGAAAGAGGTCTGATAATGTTACAGACACCGTTTGACAGTAGCGTTAATCGTTTTATAGAAGAACAAAAAATTCTATCCCTACAGAAATCCATGATGCGAGCAGGATTCGAACCCGAACCAGGCTGAAAGCCATGCTACCCGCAAGGGCCTTGCGGTATGTGTTCGGTTGCTTCCAGCCTTCCAACGATACCACTGATTGACGTCGCCGCTCCGTAATGTCTAGGCAGAAGAGAGTCAAGGTAAGCTCGGTTCAAGTCTGTCGGAACTTACCCGTTGGAGACATTAGCAGGATTCGAAACTGCGCCAATTGCCATTCAACAGTGTATCAGCGCTGGAGGAAAAGATGGGTCTCGGAGAAGAGAAGGAAGAAAAAACATTACCTTATCCAATTATGCGGCAGGAGCTACAGACAAGACTCGAACTCGCCTCCAGGAGCGCCACAGGTCAAACGGTGCATGTGCTCAACTGGCAATTAGACCGCTGTGCCCTATGTCGATGTTAGAAATTTACCTTTGGCTTATCAGGTTCAACTCCTGTTCATTGCTGTACCATCCTGGGAAAGGCTGCCTGTTCTCGAAGGAATAGCGCCCAGCGAGTGTTTCTCAAGTGTGATTGAGCTGCTTGATGCAGATGTTCGTTGAACCAATAAGTCAGAGCAGTAGTTGAATGGATTGGGAACCGCTTTCGAGCTGGCCTTGCGGGTCGTTGAGAAAATTACATCCAAGTCGAAATAGTGATATCAATATCCGTATTTTACGCTCCTCACGTCAAGAACATATCCGTATTTTCCAACAAGACTTGTGTTTCAGTAGTGTATTGGAACCTTTTGCTTTATTAGCCTTTATACCCACTGAGCACTTCGACGCAGCCTTCACTTATGTCTAGGATCTACATGTGTAACTGCACAAGAACGTACTCGTACATTCCCTCGACATTATGACGCCATAAATCTTAATCCCAGGTTTTTCACCCATTGGAAAGGTTAAGAAATTCGATAAAAATTCGAGTCCACAGATATTGACACGAGTAGGGCTCGAACCTTCTTCCCCAGACCACATCTGTTTTATCACTTCAACATAGGCGTCTGGTGCCTTACCAATAGGCCATCACGCCTTCATCTCCTGGCTTGACCGGGACTGTGATTGAGATAGAGGTGGCAGGAAACGCAAAGCGAGACACGTGGCAGGCAGATAATAATGGTATGTTTACGCTGTCGCCTGTAATTGATTGAAGTCATGTAAAGGAGTTTGGGGCAAGCGCTAGACGACGCGCTCGGGGCTTGCGAGCACGGACTAGTGGCTGGGATCAAATCGCCACTGGAAGTTGGGGGCCATCCCGCATCAATGTTATGATTATGAACCAATTCTGCATCTATGTTCTGAACGTCGACCATCTCTCACTCTGGTTTCATGGACCACCCTCTGTCTTTCCTATATATCTCAGACTAAGCAAAGTCGGCTCGACCTAGAGGAATGTCACCAACGCAGTCACGCAGATGCCTTGTCGCGTCTCCCAACAGCGTTCAGTCAACGGTTCGGCTATAGGGCGTCTCCTGTTCCTCCCCAGCCAAACCACATCATCTGGATCTGGAGCTTCATACTGTCCCATTTCGATCACTTAGGCACCAGGTGTTACGCGTTTCACGGGTGATGAAATTTAGGTTACGGCACATAGGCCTGTTACATGTTACGTTCATGAGTTTTCGGCAGCAGCAATAAAATTCTTCGGCTGGGCAGCCAAATTATGGTGGATACTTTGCTACTTCACCTAGGCAGGGTGTTATATGTAATTCCAGCACATCGATCGCTTTTTGAAAGCCATGAAACCCTCTACATCGGATGGGTTTGCCGCCTTGTACGGTGATAAGAAATTTCGGGAGCATTGAAGTGCGCGTCAATCTACTGATCGACGCTTTGGAAGTTGGCATACGATGTTGTAGCCAAATTTTATGATAGGATGCCTGTACAATACCTGCAGAAACACCACATTGCTCATATGGAGGCAAGGATTAGCTTTAATCCGATTTTTGGCCCTTTTTCGAACCATTTTTTGGTTTCGGCACAAGCCCCTGTTACGCGTTACACCGTCCAAAATTAGGCAAATTCAGTCCAATGTTACGCGTTACGTGCCTAAGTGATCGAAATGGGACAGTAGTCTCCTTGATCCGCCATTGCTTAGATAATGTTCACCCAAAGCTCGTACTTTGCCAACAAGGCACGTGTGCCTCTCCTCTGTCTGATCTCCCACTTGATGAACACGACTGAAATCGTCCTACATGTAGCATTGGCATTATTGATCTATGGTGTCCTCGACGGCCCCCTCGCTCAACCCTGCGCACTCGTAGGCGGCCACGTCCTCTCCGCCATCCTCGGCACAACCATATCCAAGGTCTTCCTCCTACTCCCTCCTGACCGCTTCACATCTCTCCAGTTCCTTGCTTCCTCCGAGTCACTATCCACAGCAACATCTATTGTCCTCATGCAAATGACAGGCACCTCCCATCCACCTGCGGGAGCCACAGCGCTCATTCCAATCTTGGATGACAGAGTAAGAGCGCTGGGATGGGATTATGTGTGGATGGTGCTGTTGACGAGTACAGTTATGGGTGCCGTGGCGATGGCGACGAATAATGTGAGGAGGTGGCCTGTTTGGTGGATCTGTCTGCCGGCGCCTGTTCCTGGGACTCTTGTGTGGCCAGCTGTGGGAGGGAAGGAAGTTGGAAAGTTGGAGAAGAAAGAAACAGCGACAACAACGATGGGGACTGGAGGATCGGCTGTGACTCCTGCAAGAGACCCAACTTTGTTCTCTTTGTTGAGAGACGACGGAGAACATACAGAGCCAAAGGAAGAGGTTTAATTAGCTGCGTCGCATTTGTTGTCGTGCATCTCACTCGTTCTAACCGAGTTCTAGATGTATACCTCTAATATCATCCAATAGGTTAATTATAGCGACCCCTTGAATATACGACGTACCTATCCATTCGCGGATGCAAGCTCCCGGACATCACAGACCGAGCAGACAATTCCACGGTCATGGCCCATGTACCCGCTTCCTCACCCCCACCTTGCTCCTCCGAGCTCGCGCCTACTCCAAAGTCCACGACCTCTGTCGCCGTTTTCTCCTCGCAACCCTTTTGCTTCTGGAACAGGTGTGTTATACTTACAGACTTGCGAGAAGGGACCACGTCACTATCCCTTGTCGTACCTTGTTCTCATTTGCATTTCATGCACTTTTGTGCTTGGATCGACAAAAAAACACGACCCTCAGGGACTGCCATGGTACATGCAACGCGGCAGGGCTTGAACCTGCACCAATCGGTGGATAGCCAGTACGTCATACAGTAGACATACTATGCCGTCGTATACTCTTGGACTATCGCGTCTTGTTCATGTAGGTTTAATTCGTGTGCTCTACAGAGGCTAAATATCTGCGAGGGCTGAGGACAGCCTCCATTTGGATTGTGTCTTGCTTACTCGGCTCAGTTCAACGCTCAGTTCACCTCTGCCCGCTGGCTCACCCGGCCAGCTGCCTTGTATCTGGGTGGAGGCCTGCGAGTGCTCTACTATCCCCATCTTGCGCTCGGTTTTGGATCATCCTCTAGTCCCATGTCTTCGCAGCGTGGGTCTTGTGCGTTGGTTTCTTCCCCCAATACTACCTCATTTCGAGAGAGATAGCGGGAGACGAGGCAAGGAAATCAGCAAGAAAAAAACTGCTGTGTTTTAACGGCATGCAGGATGTCAACGAGAATCGAACTCGTGAACTGGAATAGACCCACGCAGAGGAAGTTCCCGTTGAACCATCTTCCCTTTTGCAAGGTTGGGCACTCTCTACCAGTAAACCCAACAAAGGGTGGCATGCCACACAAGAAGGACAATCACTCTTATCTTAAGCATATCCCCTTGCTCTGTTTGCATCTGTTTGTTGTAGCACATTTTTGCTTGAGCAGCGGCTTTCCCTGTCTCGAAATCTACCCTGATGTTTCACTAAGCGCAAGGCATCCCAAATGCCTTGCTTTGTACGAAATTTCACGTCTTACTTATACGTTGATGAAGTGCTGTGTTACGCTTTTTAACAGTTCTAGGTTCTTGGCGCGCTTCCGCATTTGCAGATGGTGCTTGGCGCGCACGGCGCTTGGACCTTCCTTGCTTAACAATTGACCCTGGCTGGGCAACGAATTGGCTCGAAATTCATCTTGGTCTATGAAATTCTCTGGCGTACCCTCAGGCTCGCTCGCTGTGACATTGCCACCACCGTACTGGCTAGGCATCGCCATGGCCTGTGCTATCTCACGGGTGCGTTTGTCGTACCCTCGGACCCAACTACTATTAATTTATTGCATCAGTCTACTGTTAAATGAGACAGCTCAATACATGTCCGTAACATCGAGTTCACACCACACAGACAGAGCCACGTGCTATACAGCTGGTGAGATGATCTCAGGTTGGTCACCACCATGCGTAGTTGCAGCCTACCGCCGTAGCGAAGCGAGGCGTATCTTGTATACTATATAATTATATACATGGCTCCCGAGTTCTCGAATCTGTCAACAGAAATTGAGAGGTAGAAAAAGAATGGTAACGTGCCTGATGTTGGTAGAAGGGGCATAATCCGTAAAAGTAGTAGTATAATGGCAATATAATGACTCCAATGTTCTCGCAAAATTGAAATTCCCGAATAGAATCCTGGAACGTGGGTCGCAGGGGCATGACAGTGTTGAATTGCTCTGACCAAGGGTTCAACAATGTTTCAAAAAAGCTCTGATAATATAGACACAGTTATAACATCGATTATCATGTCGAAATCTCACGGGAAAGCGAGCGAAGCTCCCAGAGTAACAGAAAAGCATGCTTAGCTCAGCCAAAATTTGGACAAACTGGGTTCAGTGTTTTAGAACTGTAATTACCTACCTATCGCTTTGGGGTAATTTGGGCGGACAGAAACGGCCTTCTCTCGCAATATCGCACTGTCTAGGTTGCAACGGGAAGGTCAAGTCACATCCAAGAATTGCTTCGACCGAATTTTCCTTGCTTCGCACTCTTGGTCCCCTCACTGAAGCCTCTCCACCAATTCTTCGACTCAGCGCTGGGGGATAAGGTTGATCCTGGTGAAGGAAAGGAAGAAACTCCAGGAAAGCTACAGGTGATGCGAGGTGTGCGCTCCGATTATACCATCGTACCCTAGCTTGATGTTAGCTTTACACCTGAAACCATTACGATGATCGGCGGGACATAGCACGAGATTAGAATCATTAGATGGAGCCACCGATACTCATATCACACCCTTGTGGATACGTCATGTCCAACTCCTGTTCATTGCTGTAGCATCTTCGGAAACGCTGCTTTCCTCGAAGGAATGATGATCGCTCCGAACAAGTGCTTCCCAAGCTCGATTGAGCCACCCGGTACTAGTACAGATCTTCGTCAAATCAATAAGGCAGCGCAATGATTTAGTGGATCGAAGGACTGTGTCAAAGGCGGTCTTCAAGTATGTTAAGTATCTCTGTTTTCCCATTTCTTCTCGCGTTAAATACATATCGTCAGAGCTCCTACGAGTAGTAGTCTTCAATGGGGCTTGTATCGCGGTTTCGCTTTGGAACCCCTTGCTTTGCACCCACTGAGTCGTCCAATATAGCCTCAATTTATGCCTAAATAATTGACGATGCGAGACACTACTTATTATGACGCTAGTGACTATGTCCCAGGTCTTTCAATAGTTTAGAATTGCCAAGAGCTTCGCTAAAATGTTTGTTGTGAGCTGGCATCGACACGAGTAGGACTCGAACCTACTTCCCCAGACAACACCTATGTATTTCGCCCTACATTGGCGTCTGGTGCCTTACCAATAGGCCATCGCGTCATCATCTGGCGCTGGCGTGAACAAAGCCACGATAGCAGCAGCGGGAATGCATGACGCATGGCGAGACACGCGGGCATATGATAAATATCCTCGCGTCGCACAAGTCAAGTTCTGACTGTTGCCTGGAATTTACTCCAGTCAAGGAGTTTGGGCCCTAGAGGACGCGCTCTTGTGTACAGCAGTGACTAGGGGCCGATCAAAGTGGAATCGCCACCTGAAGTAGAGGGCGATGATTACGAACGAATTCTGCAGCTGTGTCGTCAACGTCGACCACCTCTCAGTTTGGGTTCATGGGTCACTCTCTGCCCTTCCCGTATGTCTCAGGCTAAGCAATCCTGATTGGACAGACCAGAATGCAAGCAACACAACCGACCCAAAACACCCTGTCGCATCTCCCTTTCAAGTTCCTGGTTCGACCGATGGTTTGGCTACAGGGCGTCTCCTGTACCTCCAAACCAAACCATATCATCTAGATCTGGAGCTTGTACAGCTGATGCTCACCCGAAGCTCCTACTTCGTTGACGAGGGCATCCCTCCTCTCGTCGCTTCCTGCGTGCGTCCATCTCCATCTCCAGCCTCTTGAAAAGCACTGAAATCGATATACAGGCAGCCTGCGCAGTCCTCATTTACGACATCCTCGATGGCCCTCTCGCCTAGCGCCCTGCACTCATAGGTCGACGCGTCCTCTCCGCCATCCTCAGCACAGGGATCGCGAATCTCTTCCTCCTCCCTCCTGAACGATCCAGCCTCCAATTCATCTCTATCCCAGCAACCACCAGCAGGAACAAGTCACCCACCTGCAAGCGCACCCGCGCTTATTCCGATTCTGGATGATCGATTGCCACAGGAAATCTAGCGCTGTATCTTAGCCATTGATATCAATCGGATATGGATTGAATATGGAAATGCCACATTGCATATTGTTGTCAAGATATAGATCCAGATACGAGGTATATTATATTCTTTGTATTGGTGGGTGGCAGACATGGTAAAGATACACAATGCGAATGGTGGCACGTACCGCAGATACGAAATACCCTTTCACTGCCATTCAGCAATTCCATATCTTCACCATACTGTCCACAGATCCTGACAAAGGATATGGTTAACTTAATATTTGCAATCATATCCTGACAAAGGTATGCGTTGTGGTATTTGCGTATCTGGTGAGCATCCTCCTCATATTGTACCCCAAGATATTCCGGGGGTTTTCCCGTGTGCGAGCGTTGGCATGGGAGTATGTCTGGGTGGTGCTTTTGACAAGTAAGGTTATGGGTGTGGTGGCGATGGCGACGAATAATGTGAGTCAGAGGTGGCCGGTTTGGTGGATAGGGATGCCTGCGCAGGTTCCTGGGACACTCGTTTGGCCGACGTCAGGAGGGAAGGTGTTGGAATCCATAAAGCCAGGCTGGTCGGATTAACTTTATGTTGGAATCCACTAAGCCAGCCTGGCTTATTGGATTCCAACAGAAGGAAGCTCTCAAGGTGGAGAAGGGAGAAGCGTCGACGACGATGGGAACTGGAGGCTCATCCCGCTAGAGATCCGATGTTGCTTCCGTCAATGATAGACGGGGAGGACATCCGAAGGAAAAGGAGGAAGTCTGATTAGGTGTGTTGCGTTCTTCGTCGTGCATCTGTAAGAGATGGGCGTTGCCAGCTCGCGATTCACACCGAAACAGAGCACGACCAGTTATATATTGGAACTGTCGGTCTAGGGTATGAACGAGAACTATGGCAAATGTGTCATCAAGGGTAAGGGTAAGGTGTCTCTCGTACGAAAGGGGCTGGTGCGCCAGCCAGGCGCGACGGCAGCCTTAGATCTAAACAAAGGCAAGCTCCGAAACAGGGGCTTTTAGGGAAGCCATCCCTTACAGCATCTCAGCGCTTCTAGTTGAATTATAGGTATATACATTTGCTACCATTCAATAGGTCAGTGATAATAACTTCCTCGAATAAACATTTTACCTGCTCTATCAGCGGATCCATGCTCTCGGACATCACAGGTCCTTCACCACCCTCTTGAATGTATCTCCAAGTCGAGCGGACGATTCAACGGCGGTGACCCATCTACATGCTTCCTCGTACCGCCCTTGCTCCTCTAAGCTTTCCGCCGCTCCATCTGCAGTCGCTGTTTCCTCTCTGCGAGCATTTGTCCTCCCGGACAGGTGTCTTCTACCTACAACCGCCAAAAGCTCGTGAGGAAGACATCATTATCCCTTGCCGTACTTTGTTCCCATTTGCGTTCCGTGCACTTCTTGTGCTTTGATGGACTTTAAAAACGAACTGCCCCTATGGGCCCTATGCGATACGGCGGGTCTCGAACCTGCACGAATTGGTGAATAGCCAGTACCCTACCACTCTATCATCCTCTTGAACTATTGTGTCTTTTTCGTGTCTTGCGTCTACTACCACATCAAGCATCTGTGCTCTACAGAGGCTAAAGATCTGCGAGGGCCCAGGGCTGCCTGTCTTCGGATCCTGTCTGGTCTATTAGCTCAATTCAACGCTCCATTGATTTCTGCGCCTTGCTCACTCGTCTAGCTGTCATGCATCTGGGTACAGGACCGCAAATGTTCTACTACGGTCATCTTGTGCTTCATTTCGACCCTCCCCCAGTCTCATGTCCTCCCAGCTTAGATCTCACACGCTCGCTTCAACTCACAAGGTCCTCTACTTTAGAGCAAAAGAAGGGAGAGACGAGGCAGGGTAAAATGCAAAACACATCAAAACATATGTTCATATGTTCATAAACCCCTTAATGGCACGAACAGGGTTCGAATCTTCGCCAAGTAGCTAGTCGCAGGTAACAGTGTGGCCTTCGTATCTCGGCCTATGGTGTCTTTCAGAGGCTGTATGTTGATTGACCTGGTGAAGGGGTTATAGATTCTCTGGCTGGCATGATTTATATTCTAGTTCCTCTCCCTGTCACCAAAACAAAAAGTGATATAATTCGGTTCCCCACTTCAACGACATGAGCAGGAATCGAACCTGCGCAAGGAGGTGAACAGGTGTAGTCAACATCGTCACATACTCTTATGCCATGGTGTCTGATCTGGAGGGCAACATCGATGGACTCGGTCAAGTCAGCCTCAGCCATTCTCGTCGCCTTCATCGCTGCCTCCATCCTCTTTGTTGATCGTGATCTCGTTTCCCATTCCACAGCGTCTGCTTCTGTCTAAACACGGTATACAATGGGAGAAAACAATCTTTGTAATAGATGCATGCGGGATTACAACGAGAATCGAACTCGCGAACTGGAACGAACCCATGCAGAGCTGGGTCTAATTTCCAATTGAGCCATCTAACCGTTCGTTTCGCAGTGGTAAGCCGTATTGCGATGGATGACTGGTGACCGTAGAGGCTCTTTCTGGTGTGGAGCATAAGCAGATCAACCAAGTCAGTTGAGACAACGAGAGGGTGAACTATGGCACTACCCTACGAGTCACTCGAATGCAGAGCACGGGGGAATAAAATCTGAGAGGACGGAAAAAGAAAGGATATCCCCGGTCGTCTGTATGATGCGACAGCGCGGGATTTGAACCCGCACCAAGACAGGAAGATGCTCGAAATCTGAGATGCTATGCTTCTTGAACCATCGCGTCATTATTAAGGGATAAAGCTGTAGTCGATATATCGCCTATAGTGTGTGCGTTCTTCAGAGGGCAATCCTTTCACTCGACTGGGCCATGCAGGCGAGGATATACCGGATCGAACGATCTACTCGCCACTATTGTTATTTCTGGTTGGAAAATGCAAAATTTGACAGAAGATCCACTGACTGACCCATGAGGGATATCGACGAGAATCGAACTCGCCACCTGGAACGTCACCCGCCCAGGGGTGCGTACGTGCTCCAATGGACCATCCTCCCTTGCGTAAACAGGGCCAAGATCTCATCAAATCAAGGTGCGATGGGTAATAGAAGCTGGTAAAACACCATTCATGTCTCCTTCAATTTTGGTTTGTGTTGGAAGGATGGCCATATTCTTGGACTATGTACCTTCATCCTTTTACAGTGTTCTGTTTCCTCAACCCTGGTGTTTCGATCCCAACGAAGAGGATTGGACGACGGGCTCGGAGTCACGCGATCCTCGCAGAGGAAAAGAATGACGCATACCAATCATTTCAGAAGGGATTTGACAAGAATGGAACTTATGCATTTGGACGTCTCTGCGCAGTATCGTGGATTCATTGCGTTGAACCATCGTTCGTCTGTGGATTGTGTGAAGTTGCCCTTGTTACCAGTCTTTAGCATGATGCAGAAAGAAAAACAAAGATCATATTGATAGACATAAAAAGAAGAAGGCTGGAGGATACCCTCGATTCACTTCTCCTTCCCTCGGCCTGTCAAGTGCGTTCGGTCTTTTCTTGTTCCCAATCCAAGCGCTGTCATCTCCCCAAAGGATTACTGTTACGCAGGCAGGCACACGGGGTGAGCGAGTACGGGATCAGGTCACCTAGATTCGGCCTGCTAGAGTTTTACAGTGCATACTGTATAAAAGGTTGGTTTGCGAGATAGAGGATAGGTATCAACCTGTTGAGAATAAGCGATGGAGGAATAAAACGATAATGATTCGAGTAAACTACGGGCGCTTAAATAGTCGTACGGAAGCTAAATATAGAACAAAGAAATAAATGAGACTCTCAGAGTCGCATAGCGAAAATAATAAGGTGGGAGGATATGAGATGAAGGAACAATGTAAATAGTGAGCCCATGGAGACGAAGGGAACGATGAGGAGGGTATAATGAGCTTCAGATGAAGCTGCGGATGGACGGACAAAGAGAAAGACAACGAGACGACGAAATAAAACAATAAAACAAAGGAATACTTACGACGAAGCGTTTTAGCTTCGGTGGGATATTCCAACACTCCTCCTTGGACGTTCATCCGATCTGGAGAAGTCCGAGTCCATGAACGAAGTTCTCATGGAGGGGGCGAGCCAGCGCCTTAGTGAAGACATCCGCCAAATTTTCGCGGGTAGGGACATAGACCGTGTCG